GGGAGGTGGGGTGGCAGCGCAGCTCACAGGACCCAGAACCTTTCGCAACGGTTCCCAGCATGTGCTGGCCTCTGTCACCTCCCCGGCACCCTGAGAGCCAAATTTGGAACGGGCGCTGGCACAACCTGCCCCAACCGTGACCTTCTGCTCCACAGCGAGCGTGACCTGCCGCCAAACGGTTCCGAAGGTGAAGCTCTCACCTTCAGTTGACTTGCATCTGCCCACGTGGCATCAAACCCATGGTGGGTTCAGGCCTGCTCTAGTTCGGGAGGTGCTCTGGGGCCCCGAGGCGTGGGGACTTGGGGGGCTGACAGCCCCCCGTTCACCTGCAGCCAGAGCCTGGGGTGGTTTAGCCGGGGAAAGCTCGTGTTCCTGCCGCCTCCCGAAGGGTCCCGGCAGTGCCTTGTGTCTCTGAGCGGAGCTGCAGCCCGGGGAGGTTTGTTCCGTGCTGCGCCCCTGGGTGCTTCGGGGGTTTCACAGCCCCTGGCGCTCACCCTCTGCCCGGCCCCTGCCGGTGGGCTGGCTTCGGTACAGTGCGGCGGGCAGCGCGGCGCTGCGGGCTGAAGGAAGCAGGAGAAAACGAAGAGTGGACAGTGTACTGGACGGACGGCTCGGTCTCTCTGGAGCGCCTCATGGAAATGAAGCGGTTTCAGGTAAATTCCCACGTACGGGCTGCCCAGCAGGACGAGCTCAGGAGAGGGGGGGCGAGGCAGGGGCAGGTCGTGGAACAACGTGTCACAGAATGATACAGAAGTGCCCAAAGCAGCCGCCCTGCCCCTCGCTCTGCGTCGGCTCCGCAGGGCGCAGGTTCACAAGCCTTTGCTGCTGCCGTGGGGCTGGTTCGGTGCCACCAGCAGCGCGTCGGCAGTTCGTGGCGTGAGCTGGAGAGCTGCCAGCCCCGTTAATGCACCATGAAATAGATGGTTGTGGATGACAAGCGCCTTCCTGAAGCTGTGATATTGTGGGGAGAGAGAGCTTCAGGGCTGAGATGGAGCGAGCAGATAAATCACACTGGTGACGTTCAGATAAAGCGGTTGCAGCCTAATCTTGTCCCTGAGCAGACGTTCAAGGCAACCGCCGGCCCAGCTCCCTGTTCTGCGTGCTGGCCTCTCTGCAGGCAGGCTTTCCTCGAGTCTCGAGGAGGATCCCTGCGGTTCCTCTGCTGATTCTCTTTGTCTGCACCTCTTTCAGAAAATCAACCATTTCCCAGGCATGTTGGAGATCTGCCGCAAGGACTTGTTGGCTTACAACCTGAACCGCATGCTCAGGCTCTTCCCCAAGGAGTACAACATATTTCCCCGCACTTGGTGCCTGCCAGCCGAGTGAGTGATCCCCGTTAATGCAGCTGAGATCGGGGGTGTGCGGCTAGGAAGCGTCTCCGAGAGCTCACCCCTTGGGCTGGGCCTTTGTAACCCTCCCCGGGACTGAAGCGGGTGCTGAGACACCTTTCTGGTTTCACACATCGTTAACTCCTTAGACGGGATGAGCCCGTGGAACGGCGTCCTCTGCCATGCGTGCCTCACTGCGGGGCCGCGTGCCGAGGGGCTAAATCCGGGGCGAGGGACCCAGCCCGTGACAGGGACCTGCTGTGCTGCTCTGGAGCTGAGCGCTCCCCGTGGCTGGAATGGGTTTCCTTAACCTCTGTCCTAAAGCGGCTTTGCTGGACCAGCAGCACCTGGTCCTTCTGTTCGCCCTGCCCGCGGAGAACAGCGGCTCTCAGCGTTTCGCTGACGGAGTGTCATGTCCAGGAAGGCCACAGCCACGTGTCCTCTCAGTCTCCCACCCAGTTCCCTTGTCTCGCTTCCCAGGCTGCGTTTCCTGGACCGGGACTGCTCCTGGGGCTGTTTTCGGGGGTTTGTCCTGTTTGCCTCTCTCTTTCCCCAAACGTGGTGCCCTCTAGAGAGACGGCGCTTCTCCGTCTGCAGCGGAACAGCTGATCGGGGCGTAGGAGCTGCTGGTGGAGCTCAGCTCCCAGCTCTGCACCCGCTCGGAACGCGCCGGCCGTGGCCTCCTGCCCGCCTGCGGAGGAGCCGGCACAGAAGGGGATGCAAAGACTCGTGACCTCCTCCTCCTCCTCCTCTGCAGCCAGGGCTCGCTTATTTTCTCTTGCTCTCTCTGGGGCAGCAGAGCCAAAATCTGGCTGGCTCCTGTACGCAGGGGGGCGAGCGCTTGCCATGAACCTCGCGGCACAGGTGGAGATGTGGGGATGTGCGCGAGGAGAAGGTGGCACCAGGAGAGCTCTGTCGGGGCACACAAGGGCCAGCCCGTACCCGAGGCAGATGGGGAATAGGTGCGCTGCCCCTCGGGCCCGCGGCGCCGGGGCTGAGCACCCGGCAGCTAGGAGGGCGTTCAGGGGTAACACTCACCCCTCCCTTGCACAGCTATGGAGATTTCCAGGCCTACAGGCGCGCGAGGAAGAACAGAACATTCATCTGCAAGCCAGACAGCAGCTGCCAAGGGAGAGGGATCTTCATAACACATCATCCAGAGGAGATCAAACACGGAGAGCACATGATCTGTCAGCAGTATATCTCTAAGGTGAGGGGGACAGCCTCAAAATACAGGCGGAGGATCGCGACCTCCCAGCTCTTCCAGCGTCCCGCATCCTCCTCGTGTCCTTTGCAATGTTTCTCTGTCTCATGCTTGCTCCTGCCTTTTTTCTCACAGCCTTTCCTTATCGATGGCTTTAAATTTGACTTGCGTATCTATGTGCTCCTCACATCCTGTGACCCGCTGAGGATTTTTGTCTACAATGAGGGTCTGGCCCGGTTTGCCACCAGGAGTTACATCAATCCCAGCAGCAGCAACCTGGTAAAAAAAGGACGTTTCCAAAAAACTCGCAGAGTATCTGTAGGTGTTAGTCCCTAATTTGTCCCAGGGGCATTCCAGACCTTGAGAAGACAGGGACTGGTAGGTTTCATGGGACTCAGCTTTCTTCTTGCCTGTTCTCCCCTCCCTCTGTACCTCCTCCTCCTCCTCACAGGAGGTATTTCAGGAGTGTCTGAAGTAGGTCCACTCCCAGGCCCCGCACCCGGGCTGTTTTCTGACATCATCACGGAATCATGGAGTTGTCTTGCTTGGAAGGAACCTTGGAAGGTCTTGAGTCCAACCTTCTGCTCAAAAGCGGGTCACCAATAAATTCAGATCTGATTTCCCGGGGTTTCACCCAGCCAGGTGTTGAAACCCTGCAAGGACGGAGACCCTGCGGTGTCTCTGGGCCACACTCCTCCTGCTTCTTGCCTTTGTGAGCATCCTCAAGTCCACACCATTCCTTGTCTGCCTGTGCTTCAGGTGGAAAAGAGGGACCTGGGGGTTACCTGGTGGTAGTGGGTCAGCCTGGGAGAGCCAGGGAGGGGAGCCGGGAAGGCAGGGGCAGAGTATGGCCATGCCCGTCTCCAGGCAGGGGTCTGTCACCTCTGCCACCCCAAGAGCAGACAGACTGTGGTGCTGGATCACCGTGCTACAGCCACGGACGGCCCGGAGACAGCCCGGCCTCTGCCTGTCTGCCCGTGTGGCCCAGAGCTGCGTCTGCTGTGCCCTCCCCGCCAAGACGTGGTGCCTCGGAGAGCTCTGCTTCGGGCCAGCGAGGGAGGAGGAGGAATCTGCAGCAATTGGCTGCAGCTTCTGTCCTGAGGAGTCCCTTGTTCGCTGGCGAGGCCATTCATGGAGCTGCCTCCGGGCTCTCCCCAGAGATGAGGACAGAGGGAGGAGCAATGTTAGCTCGGGCTTGGGCTGGAGAGGGGATCACCAGCGTGATTGACTCCTTGCTGCAAGTCACCGCCCAGAGGGGGACAGAAGCGGGCGAGGCCGGTGCCCAGATCCCTGCCAGAGGGGCTGCTCCTATTCGCTCTCTGTGGTTAAGGGTAAATGAAAGTCTCGCGGTTCCTCCCTCAGGACGATGTCTGCATGCACCTGACCAACTATGCCATCAACAAACATAACGAAAACTTCGTCCAGGACGACAGGATGGGCAGTAAGAGGTATTGTCCTGTCCGGGCACCGCGGTGCCCCGCACCCAGCCTGCAGGAAAGCGTTACTTCCATCTTTCTTGGGGCAAACGCGGTACCACAGCTGAGCTCTTACCACCTCCTGTCCTCCACACAGGAAACTGTCCACCCTGAACGCCTGGATGGCGGATAATGGCTACAACACCGCACAGCTCTGGGAAGATATTGAAGATACTATTATAAAGACGATTATTTCGATTCAACCGGTTGTGAAGCACAATTACCAAAGCTGCTTTCCAAACCACACGACGGGCTGTGCCTGCTTTGAGATCCTGGGCTTTGATATTTTGCCAGACAGAAAGTTGAAGCCGTGGCTGCTGGAGGTGAGAAAAGGCGTCTCCTGCTGTGTTGGGGCAGCTCTGGAAGCAGCAGGTAGCCAAGAGCTGGTTCGTCTGGGGGAGGCTCCAGGGCAGGGGTGGTGGGATGGACAGAACTCTCATTAAAAGGGGGCACCTCCTTTGCGAAATTGAGCAGGCTGTGAAGACTGCAGCGAGCAACCTGCTGTAGGCTGAGCGGGATCCAGGAGCCCCTTCCCTGTACCCCCTCACTAACTCCCCTCGGGGGTTTCCCGATCCGTGGGACTCCCTGACCTGTAACTGGACCCCAAATTCCCGTCCGCCGCCCCTGGCCCGTGGTCCGGCAGGGTGTGGGATGTGAAGGAGCTGCCGTGCGGCGGGCGTTACGCTGCAGAAGGACGGAGCTAGCTGCCGTGTGCAGCCTCCGGCTGTCTGTCGCTGTTCCAGGGAAGAACGTCCCTGGGAAGCGTGCGGTGGAGCAGACTGGGGCCAGCGAGCTGGGAGCTGCCAGGTTAGACGGGCTGCTTGTTTTGGCAGGTGAACCACTCTCCCAGCTTCACCACAGACTCTCGCCTAGACTATGAGGTGAAGGATGCTCTTCTCTGTGACACCATCAACCTGATAAACGTGCATGCCTGTGACAAAAGGAAGGTGCTGGAGGAAGACAAGCAGCGGGTAAAGGAGCGGCTCCTCCAGGCCCACCAGGCTCTCCGTGCAGCCAGGTATCGCTCTTCCCCTCAGCCCTGCAGGTCCCCAGTGAGAAAAGACAGAGCAGGATGAAA